GTGTCAGGCTACATTTCACTGTGTGTTATACTTGTATAACTATGCATGTGACAAATAAAGAACCTTGAACCTTGAAACATCTATTCTTACACTTTGTTACATGTCATACTGACAGTATGAAACATCCAAATCTGGGCTTGTACTGGTTTGGTGAGCTGATGTTGAAGTTTTCAGTCATTCTGTGAAGTCTGACAGAGGGAGAAGCCTTCAGGATTTTCAGACACCATCACGACATCTTCATGATCACAGATGTAGGAAAATAAAAAAGCTGGGACATGGCTTTTTGCACCATTGCCACCACCTTCTGCCAGTCATGGGGCATCACATCCTACCAGTCACAAATAAGAAGGCAGCAACTATACTCTGTATTTTCAAATAAAGATAATACTGTATTAGATTTTTTTAATACTTTAATGACTATTTGAAAATTCCAAAATGTATTGTACCAGAACCAGAGGACAGTCCACTGAAGCACTCAGTCGGTCATGTTCTTGTCTTGAGCCACTAATCAGTGAATTAGTACTGCCACATTTTTTAGTGTATGTGTGGCATTGCCACAAACAAAATATTACGTCCAGCTCTTACTTTAAATACAATGACATTATGACAACATTTTTTTAAATTATTAAATTCAATACAGTGACATGTAAATAATAAATATGAAAGTCAGCACATCAGTGAGAGGATCATTTCATACATGTAAGTTTGTGTCTTATATTTGAATGTGGGTGCAATATGTCTTCCATCTTGCAGTGTATTATGCACAAAAACCATCTCACAGTAAAGTTGTCAAACATATCATTTTCAGTCATGGGAGAGTATTTACACTAAAACATTAAAAAGAACAGATGTGGGTAACCTAATTTGTTAAACACAAAGTAATATTAGTTATATGATACAAGGTAACACATTATGTTTAACATTTAAAAAGTTTTAAAAATAAACAAGGAGATATGATACAATTTCCATTTACTCATGTTAACACAGAGCATAAAAGCAATAAATAGTATGTATAACCTATCTTTTTGTACTCTGTGTTGGTGGAAACTTTATGAATGAGGAAATGGCATAAAGCATCACTCAGCTTTTTTCAAATGTAGAAGGAGGGGAGAGCTCAGAGGTTGTTGAAGAAAAATTACCAACGAGGGACTAAGTTGTTCAAAGTTTAAGTAAACTCTCTCTCTGGAACTTGGAGTTTACCTCATCCAAGGGTTGACAAACCCACAGTAGTATCTTCCTATCCAGACACATAAAAGCCCTTAAACAGGGCCCAGAGCTCTGGTGCTATTGTGTCCCTGTTTTTACTAAAACACTTTCCCATTCACGTCAAAGAATTCTTCATGCAATGAGGAACCAGCAGGTCGCAGACCACAAAAGCATCTTATCTGTGTTTCACCACTGTGGCATGGTAGCTGCTACAGGATGCCTACTTTTCATTGCAAACATTTCAGTTTTGAATGCTGATGAATTATATGAAAATAATACTACATTGTCATATTCATATTCCCCTGTATACTCTATGTTAATGCCATTTATGATTCTAATTTTAGATTCTCTGTTGAGGTAAAAACGCACCACTGTCTACTGTGAAAATGCATTAAAAATATGAGAAAAACAACATTAAATGAAAAACTGTCTCTCTACTCATACGTACACTAAATTTGGTTAAAAATTTATATTTTTTAACAATTGATAGGTGTGCAAGAGGCAGACTAAAGTCACTATGACAGAGCAACACCTCAAAAACCACATAAAGCAGAAGCTGTGTGTAACTTTAAGAAAATACAAGAGACTGTGTCATTAGTGAGCACGAGAACGAGAAAGAGATGGCTGAATTCGGGAGCGTTAAAATGACTGTATTTCTGCTTCTGATGCTTCAGTTTACAAGTAAGGACAAATTTTGCTGGCAACTTTGTTTGACTCAATGAGACAACATTTGAGACCAACTTGTTTCGTATCAAAAATAATCCTCAAACTAAATTTGCGCCAAGTCACATTTGTGTTATAGTTTACGTGTCATGTTTCTCTTTTTTTTCTCAGCACCAACAATTCATCTACTTCAATCTGTCTCTATTGTCATAGTTGGTGATGACCTCACTTTGCCTTGTGAAAATGTGACACATGGTCAGGATGACTGTAACAGTACTACCTGGGCCTTCAGTGGTTCAACAGACACGGCAGTAGTGGAGTTGGCCACTCATGGGCAGATTCACAAAGATGTTAGAGCTAAGTCAGCCAGGCTGAGTGTTAGTGAAGACTGTTCTCTGGTTATAAACAAGGTCACAGTTGAGGATGCTGGCCGTTACACGTGCAGACAAATCAAATCAGGAAATGAAGTTTCAGAGTTTGATGTCTATCTTTCCGTTATTAACAGTGAGTATTTCATTCATAATTTTTTCAGCTCAAACTGTGCGTGAAACATTAAAATATTCAATACTGTGATTAAACTATTTTTTCTCTCATCTTTTGTCTTCACCAGCGACTCAACATGACAACGGTAACAAAGCCATCTTGAGCTGCTCCTTGTTGGCATATAAACCCTGTACATACATAGTAGAATGGCTCTACGAGGGTGAAGAGAACATCTATACAGACATGAAGATATTACCAGGTTCCTGCTCTTCAGCAGTGACATTTAAATCTCAACTTAATCAGAAGTCAAAGATTTATGAGTCTCTGAAGTGCAATGTGACAGATGAGTCCAGTAACAAAGTGAAGCTGTTTCCCTTCAGCTCTCAGTCGTCAGGTGAGAAAACAAGCTGCTATTACCTCAAAGTAAAGAGTATCATTAAAAAAAGCTTCATCTGTAAATCTTTTTAAGTTTAAACAGCCATTTCAGCCATAATATTCTACATGTTTTTGCCATTGATTGGGGAAAAGGAACATAAGACACATTTTCATTGTACAGATTTGATTTGGCTGCTGTTTTGTGTTTTCAGGTGAGAATGCAATGACAACAAAAAAATCCACAACAACAAAAAAGTTAATAGTGACACCAAATCCAGCACCGGAGGCAGAATAATTAAAAAACAGTAATGAAAACAGGATCACTCATGATAATTAGATTTTGCAATCGGCTACATCAGAAGGGAAATACAAAAAACGTGCTAAAATTGTACTCATCACCACTATGATTTGAAAAAAATAACTATGTGTCAGTAAAAATAAATATTAATCCGTAGATTTTTTAAAAGTAAGTTCAACATGGATTAATTTTCTTTCCAGGTTGGTCATGGGAGCATATTATATTTCCTGCTTTAGTAGCCGTCTTAGTTGCTGCTGTGGTGATGATCACAAGGAAGAAAACTAGAGGTGAGAACAGGACAAATGTAAATCAGCGTTTTAACTGTTAAATTTAATGTGTTTTGCTGACTCGTGACATGATGAAGTTCAAGTTATGTGGACAAGTCTTAGATTATTAAATTAGACAACCAGTCTTTACCAGTTTAATCAGTTGAGACAACACCGTTTTCTATAATAACTATAAGAACACAGACTCAGAACTAGAAGCGCAACTCAATTTTTTCCTCTTTGCAGGGAACATGGAAATGGATCAACAGAACAATGTGAGTTTCATCCATTGATCATTCTGATTCTTCAATAAAAAAACTGAGTTTTTGGTGATTGTCTGTTAAGTTCTCTACACCTGTATGACCCTAAGAAAATAACAATTTTTAATATAGTGAAAGTAAAACTTTACAGAAAAAGTTGATTTAATGTGGAGAATCTAAAAATGAACAAACCGGGCCTGTAGTTGTCTGTGTCACTTTGTGACTGGTTGAAAAGGAGTGTGTTAATTTCAGCCATATTTCACATGGAAGATGTTGACTTGTCTACAAGCAGTCACCATTTACTCTCTGACATGTAGTGAAACTTTAAAAGTGCGATGGAAACTGCCATCAGAGAGTGTCCACCTTCAAATGAAAAGTTGTGCCTTATAACTATAAACTACACATTTCAAAAGGTGCAGCTTTTACTTCGACAGAGAACATTCTCTGCTCCCGGTTTGTGTGCTCTTTTCATATTTTTACCACCACTTGCCCGAGTAGTTTGCAAGTGCTAGCTAGTTGTTGTCTTCTATCCAAATTGCTCATGGGAGCAGGAACCTACTAGTGACCAAAGCAATTGTAAGAAGGTTTTTGGTGCAGTACTATATAACACTTTATGAAAAATGTCATATTATCCGATGCCAGCAACTCCTAACAACCACTCTCCAACCATTCACGAAATGCATATATTCAAGTTTCAGCAGAATACCTACACTTAATTTTATAAGCTATGTGCAGGGACCGAGTTTAAACACGGCAGAGACTCACATTCTCTGAACTGTGTCTATGTGCAAAATACTTTAATACTTAAATCAAGGTTTGGATTAATGTGTTAGCAATCATTATGTGATCGTCCTTATGTAGACTGAACCTGAAGATGACATTTCCTTGGCTTCCATCAGCTACACCAAGAACACCAGAGAAGAAGGCACAGTAAGCTTTGTGATGGGTTACAGTGAGGATGTTAATATCAGTTCTGTTATTATTGTTGTTGTTATTATTATTATTGTTTAAGTATTATTAAGTATAGAATTATTTCTTCTTCTAAGCTCTAGGTGGTGATGATAAAGGTGACAGTGTGACCTACAGCTGTGAAAGCCTTCTCGTCTTCTTCTGGAGTTTAATCCTAGCAACGTCTCCTCCACAGTCAACAAATCAAAGAAATAAATCCAGTCATGTTCACTCAACATATTTAAAAATGCTTTGAATGTTGCCTGATTGTTCAGTTATCGATGATCTAGATCTAAATTAAAGGGGCTAGTGCTATTATTAAGTAGTAAAACAATGATTTTTAACAACCTGACAATTGTCTTTACTTATCTCAGTGTTATATTATGTAATCTTTCTTTAATGCAACTTTTAAAGGATAATTCTGTTTTTTTTCTACACTGAATAATGAAAACACATCCTGCTTTAGTGTTGATAGAGCAAAGCAGTTGCAAATCACCTCCATCATCCATAAAGCCACAGAGCAGAGACTCCCTCTAGAGGTAGAGAATGTGAATATATTGGGTCCTCAGCATTAGGAAATAAAATTATGGCTTTCAATATATTTTTGTGTTATTTACATCTACAACAATAAAAACCAAATAGGTCTCAGAAAAGAAAAAAACATCTTGTTTCATGTTTCTTGTTTGGCATGCTTTGAACATAACCACTATTAAACAATCAAAAAGTAACTGTTTATTTCACTGCTTTGTTGGGTCTCTATCTCCATCTTAGCCATCTCTTCCTTGTTGAGGCGAGGGATTCTGGTTTTGTGGCACAAATATAATGGTGTACAGTAAGAGTTGAGCGAGCACGGGCAGAAATGTTGAGAGCGCGAGCAACACATTGCGAGC